CCGGGGAAACCCCCTGCCCCCCCCCTCCGGGCCCCAGCCACCCTCTCATGTGCCTGCCCCAGGGCCGACCCCTCTCCCAAGCACGCCTGCCCCGGACCTAACTCACTCCTCCTGCGACGCAGGGAAGCCACCGGACTCTTCCTCTGGGGCCGACGCCCCCTCCCGCAGCGCGCCCGGTACACCAGCACACTTCCGGCGTTAGGGCGTGGGGCCCTCTTAGGCGCAGGGCCTGATTCGGGGGAATCGGTCGAATCAGCCTAAAGCCGACCCTGCCTCTTAGTCCAGTGGCACTGAGCAATCAGAAGACCCTGGTATGAATTTCAGTCTAGCTGAAGTAGAACCTCCAGCAACAGATACTGAGCATTAAAGGAGAGGCATGCTGAGAACCAAAAAGAAAAGGAACTTCTCCTTAGCTGAGAAGAATAACTACTGGCTGCCAGTTCACTTCTTCAAAATACAGGACTATGTAGCATTTTAAAGACAGGGACAAGACAGTTGTCTATAATCCTACACACCCCAAGCACCTAACATCAAGTGAATGAATAATCAGAGACATTGTCATAAACTTAATTTGTTACTATAACACCTAGTGAATGTCTACACAGCAGAGTTATTTCAGAATAACATCCCTTATTCTGAAATAACGTTATGCGCTCAAGACACAAGAAGCCGTTTATTTCAAAATAAATTCAAAATAATGAACTTCTTACTCTGGCCTCCTGTAAACCTGGTTGTACAAGGATTAAGGAAGACAGCTGAATAGCAATTTATTTTGAAATAAGCGCTGTGTGGACAGCGCCACATTTCAAATGTAAAAAATAAGCTCACTTTGAGTAGCTTATTTCAAGGTACACTACGGCCTCACTTTCTGCATGTAAACAAAATAGGCTGAGCGAGCTTGTTCAGTAGGCCAGGTTAGTTCCTATAGAGCGAGAGAGACGGGCAAGAGCTGATCAGCGGTTCATAATTGCTGTTTGTATGCGGCACCAGCAGAACCAGCGCAAACTCCCAGACAGCCTCAGGCTCGGGGCTTGCCTGATGGGCGAGCACACACGGCGCTGCACCTCTATGGCTGCGATGACGTGACACGCGTCCTTTGGGCAGGGCTGGGGGAGGGGGACAGGGTGGCCCTGTCTATTAAGCCCAGCCCCTCCGCCCCATCACACCGCCCAACACCCGCAACCCCGTCCACACGCCCTCCGCCCTCGTTAGCAGCCCCGCCTCTGCCGCCCAGGGCCCGGCGCCTCGCCGTCACTTCCGGGTGGAACGCGGTGAAGTCACGGAAGCACCACGGCCCGCGGGGCGGAGCCTAGGAGCGCGGTTGCTGTAGCGGGTGGTTGCTATGGGAACAGGGCCGGTGGAGAGACGTGCCCCGCGGGGATAGAAGGGCCCAGCATGGAAAGCGGGCTCGAGCAGGTCAGGTTAGCGCAGGCAGGCTGGGGCTTGGCACTGCCCCGGCCAGGGGGAGAACCGCCGAGCTGGCAGGGCAACCGGGAGCCTCCAGGAGGCTGTGGTGGCGGGTTGCGTCAGAGGGGACAGGTAGCTAGACCGGGCGAGAGGAAGGAGGCGGGTGCCCTGGAGGGGTAGCGGGGGCTGGGGCAGGAGGTTGGTTGCTAGGCTAAGGGTTGAAGTGGAGGGGTAGCTGGGAGCGAGGGGGGCTGGTAGCTAGGCCAGGGGAAGGGCTTGCCCTGGGGGAGTAGCCAGGGCTGGGGGAAGGGGCTGGCAGCTGGCTGGGAGGGAAGAATGCCCCGGCTGGAGACTGGTGACTGGTCCGGTCAGCAGGAGATGTTGCCGAGGCTGTGGGGGGAGAATAAGGAGATTTTGCTCTGGAGCCTCAAGAGCAAGGGCTCAAGTGATGAGTTTTGCCATGGTCCCTCTGGGATTCGGGGGTATCTGTCACTCAGTCAGGGCCCTCCTCAGGTGTGTAATAAACCTAACAACACGTAGAATGGAATTGTTCTCTGTGTAGAATCCTAGTGACTGGCAAGAAGGGCCGGTTTGGATTCCTGAAGAATCATGTGCCCCCGTGTGGGGGAAATGCAGATACTACACTAAGTAGCGCCTAGACAGTTAGATCAGGCTTTCAGGGAGGATTTCGTTCTCTTTTTTCAGGCATTGTGGGGGTGGGCGGTTCCTGGGAAGAGTTTCAGGTGAGAGACCCATGTGGCAAATTCTAGGCAGAGTTCCTTCCATTAGGTAGTCACTGTCTGTCTGAATTCTTAAGAGTCACCTGCAACCCATAAAATGACGTAGGGTAGGTAGGGTATGTCTTAAATGTTTCCAGATCATGGAATTTGAGAGTGAATGATAGTGTTATTCTGTTTTGCTTTCACCACACCCCAATAAATGTAGAGATTTTTGGTCCCACTGACTAGTCAGTGAAAGGACTGTGATTTTCTTATTCTTACACACCTGTTTCATGAGTAGCTAAGAGCAAATTTAGTCTATTCAGGTAATCAGTGGTACAAATTATGTAGAAGTCGTTATTCTTGCCGTGGTTAAACCCTCCATATCTTGTAATAGTTGTTCAAAAAGTAACTCAATCTTATGCACCTTGGCTATACTATGAAAAGAAGATAAACTTTTTAATAACTAAAAATGGTGTAGGCTATACATTTAGCATAAAGATAGCTAAATTAAAAACTTGTGATGATATTCAGAAATTCCAAACAGAGATTATAAGGAAAATTCTGCTTTCTAAACTAAAGAGATTCCAGTGAAATAATTTTTATCAGCACTACTCTTTGGACTGTGATGTTTATTTCATTGTTGGAGTGAACCTTCCAAAATATGTTAAATTTTATTTTATTTTGGTTGTTCAAAAGTCTTCTTGTTTGTTATTTTTTGCCTTACCCTCTTACATTTTTTTAGAATTGTATAATGATATGAATATTATCACACTAACTGTTGCATAGACAATACTGTTTCATTGTTTATTCCTTTACTTTTGATAAGTTAAACACAAAAATTGTTTTAAAGGTAATGTTATTTAATATTTTCTAGATATTATCTATGAGCCAAATCCAGTAGTTAATTCCTTTATTGAAAGCACATTTGAGATAAGATGGTAAAATAAGGCTCCATGGGACTATTACAGTAGTTACTGGCATAAATTTCATACATAGAAAAACATATTTAAAATTTTATAATGGCATTATTACTATCTGTAGAAGTAATTTCACCTTGCTAGTGTGTCTGCATTTTTTAGTTTAAGAAAACTAAAAAACAGTGTTTGCTTCAAATAATTTTTTAATATTTTCTCTTTCTATGAAGAAATAAAAATCAGACTGGAAGATGGAGATGTATGAGACCCTTGGCAAAGTGGGAGAGGGGAGTTATGGAACAGTAATGAAGTGCAAACACAAGGAAACAGGACAGATAGTAGCCATTAAGATATTTTATGAGAAACCAGAAAAATCTGTCAACAAAATTGCTATGAGAGAAATAAAGTTTCTAAAGGTTTGCCTCTTTTGCCTTAATCATTTTGTAAATCAAAAAGGAAAGTGCTTGGAAATCAAATTGACATCATTATTGGCATATATCTATCACTCATGGGCTATTATTAAATACATAAAATATACCAAGAAAAAACGTGTTGTTTGCTTGATTTGTTTTATTGTCAAGACTTTTAAAACAAAGTAAATGTAAAAAGTAAAGTAAAAATAAAACTTGTGGTTTTGATTTTACATGAAATTTAATAAGTGAAAAAGTCCATATTTAACATATTAACCCCATACACCTTGTTTCTCTAATATTTAAACCAGTAGAATGCACAAGATGTGAATTTTGGTGGGGTTTTAATTTGACACAGTTTTGCAAACCATTAATCTGATGTGTAGTCCAATGGACTTTTATACACTGTCACAAAGGTCTGCTGATGTCAGCTTTCGATGTAGCTGATGTGGATATATTTGTAATTTCTTTACCACTTGTCCTCCCAAAATTATATGTCAGTCTATTAGAATACATGGAAGCTTTGCTGAAGATTCTCAACTGTAAGAGAACTATAAAGTACATTAACCTATTTCTACCAATCTACATATATATTTGAATTACAAAATTAAAACCTTCTCCATTTTTAATATTGGGTTGGAAGTCATGGAGTCCCATGCTTGAGTCTGCCATCGATTTACCATTTGTCTTCAGCTAGCTCATGTGGATTCTCTTTGGGACTAAATCCAAAGCTGCATCAGGCAAGTGTTTAGAAAGAGCAAAAGTGGCTGCAATACCACGTTTTGTGACTTTCCAGTCCAACTCCATGTTTGCAGCTGGATTCAGCAGCCCATAGGAGGCTGTTCTGGGAGCTGCTCATCACTGGAATACATCAGTACCCAGGTCCCTTCTCCAGTATCAGTTTCCTATACCATCACAAGGGGTGTGATATAGTCATTGTCCCAGTTCTGTTTCACCTAGGAACAGATGAGGAATCTCTGACTGTTCTCTCCCAGAGATTCCCCAACATCATTTTGTGACAGTGAAGGGGTTTCCTACTTACCTACCTACCCTGAACCTTGTGGATTTATGAGAGGCCAAAGCAGTACACCAGGAACATTTGCAAAAATGCTAATGCAGACATGTTTTCATATTAAATATATTAGAGATGGCCTGGGTCAGATTCCTCTTTCACCAGGCTTGCCCTCCTCTCTCAGCCAATCCAGCAAATTCAAAGCCTATTATTTAAATTCATTTTTCATAATTAAATAACTGGTTCAGAAAGTCTGACTTTCAACGCCAACCCCACTCCTTGCCCTTACTGGCCATTTATTATTAAATTTGATCCTTATCAATTTTTAATTAAGACTTGGCAAATATACAATATGCTAGATTATGCTAAGGGCCTGATATTCCAACTTGGATAGAAGTCAATGGGAATAAAGTCTCTAGCTATAAATCTAGACTAATTTCCATGTGCCTAAGTAGTATTAATCTGAATGAGTACCTCTATAACTGAGAAGGTAACCAAAATTATTCAAGATGGTTATCATTAAAAAGTTGAGACGCATCATCTTTGTAGACTGTTAATAAACAACTTAATAAAACTTTACAAATATTAATACTATAATATAAATAAAAATAAAATATGGCGCTTAATATGAAATTGTGCATATTATAAAAAGTTTTAGCTTTTGTTCCACAGAAGAGGCTGATTTTCTGGGACCTTTACAGCATGGATTTTCTTCTTAATTAGGTCTAATGGCAACAGCAAAGTTTTAGCAATTCACTATAATATTTCAGATTCATTTTGGTGATATAGCTGAATAGCAATGTTTTAAATATTGGATTCAGAAGGATAGCTGAGTTAGTCTATAACTGGAAAAACTTAAAAAAACAACAAATAATCTTGCAACACCTTTAACACTAACAAAACATGTAGATGGTATCATGAGCTTTCATGGGCTCAACTCACTTCATGGTACCCATTGATGGGTTTTTTATGTCATTAGGATGTGGAATGTAGCAGGCCATCCAGCCAATGTCTTTAGTCACATATTTGTGATAGGAATCAAACCTTTAAATGAAGTTAAGGCAGGCTGGAACAGAGAGAATACAAAATTTTGAATATTTGCAAAATGATGTGTATCTTTCATATCTAGCTTTGCAAGCATATCTTAGTCAAGGAGAAAAACTGTCCCAATGGAAATAAATATGGAAAAGCTATAGTAGAATGTTTTATTTTCTCTCACCAACAGCAATTTCGCCATGAAAACCTGGTCAACCTGATTGAAGTATTTAGACAGAAAAAAAAAATTCATTTGGTGTTTGAATTTATTGATCATACAATTTTAGATGAGCTACAGCATTACTGTCATGGATTGGATAATAAAAGACTTAGAAAATACCTCTTCCAGATCCTTCGAGCAATTGAGTATCTCCACAGCAACAATGTAAGTGCTCCATAGAAGCCACAAAGTAAGATTAAAACAAAATGGCACTATATTTTCTGGTTTTACATCGTGTTTTGTCTTTCAGAGTTTGAAAAATTTAATTTTTTATTTAAGGAAACTCTAGTTTCATAATAATGACCTACATGCTTCCAACTGAATTTTAATTTTTAAAAGTGAAGCTCTTGTGCACTGAAAGGTGAAATGCATTAAAAGGTTATGTACTGTTATTCTCAGTGGTGGGCTTTGTCCACATTGTTTGAATTCAGATAGAGCCATTCTTAGGATTTATGGGGGTTTATGCAATGTTATAGCAGTTCAATAGCAGCCGAGGAGGGGGCAGTTTTTTAGAGATGAGATTTTACAATTTTCAGCAACACACTAATGAAATATTTTTAAAGCAAATTTTAAACTAAGGTCCTGTAGACTAACATAGAAAATTCAAATTCTGACAGTATGTACTGGGGATGGGGGGGGCTGGCAATTTCCTGTTAAATGGTTTCATTACTATTTGAATTGCTCTTTCATGGGTTCAGTGTTCTGCTAACAGGTCTAGCAGGCTTTTTCACTTTTAAGTTAAATAGATTCTCCCCATAGGAAGCAGAGCCACAGAATAGGGATAGTGATAGAAATGTAGCCGTGTTAGTCTGGGGTAGTTGAAGCAAAATGCAGGACAATGTAGCACTTTAAAGACTAACAAGATGGTTTATTAGATGATGAGCTTTCGTGGGCCAGACCCACTTCCTCAGATCAAATAGTGGAAGAAAGTAGTCACAACCATATATACCAAAGGATACAATTAAAAAAAAATGAACAAATATGAAAAGGACAAATCACATTGCAGAACAGGAGGGGGATGAAGGGGGGGGGAGGAAGGAAGGTAAGTGTCTGTGAATTGATGATATTAGAGGTAGGGAGAGTGGGATGTTTGTGAGTTAATGGTATTAGAGTAGAGTAGTAGAATAGGGATAGGAAGACATGGGTGAGTGGACACTAAGACCCAGTGGTGCCCCAAATGTTCAGGTTCCCTATGCAACTGTGTATTCTGTGCCTAGGTAAGGACAACCCTGGGTCCAGATCTGGACTTTGGTTATGGTTCTTGTCCATTTCTAATTATTTATTGCTTTCTTATTAACTGACTACACCATTGTAGCTTCCAGTTTCAGATTTTCAGGGCAGTTTCTTTACAGCACATTGCTTTACATCCCCAGCTCTGTCTCTTTTTTGCAGTTTCTTTCCTGGCCTTCAGGGTAACTATTTTTTTCTTTATTTTGAAGTGTGGGTTGGCATGCATTGTTAGTTCTCTTTTTCTCTTCACCCCATACACCAGAGGTGGGGAACCTAAGGTTCAAGGGCCCGATGTGGACCCAGCTTGTCTGGATCCAGCCCCTGAGGCTCGGGGCTTTCTCCTAGTATTGAGGAGCCCATGCTGGCACTCCAGCTCCTCCATCACGTCCCACTGAAGGGCTAGAGCACACAAAATCTATTAGCCTGGGCCCCCCAGGGTGTGGTGTGCAAGGGGAGTATGGGGAGTGTCTTTCTCTTTCTCATATGGGGGCCACTTCAGTGAGGGTTTGTTTTTTCTTTTTTGCTTCTCACTAGTGTGCAGCCCCGGACTGATTTTTCTGTTGGTCAGCGGCCCCTGACCCAAAAAGGCTCCCCACCCTTGCCATACATGTTAGGCTGTTGCTGTTGCTGTGATCAGAAGTGGCAACATTTATGTGTTTGTTTCAGTCCATGCTCTTTGAGAGTAATCTTTATTTACAGAATCCCTTTTATTATTAAGGTAAATTTGGCTTTCCTTCTTTTGTCCAGGTCATACATCGTGATATCAAACCTGAGAATATCTTAGTTTCACAGACGGGAATTACTAAACTATGTGATTTCGGTTTTGCTCGGACATTAGCTGCCCCTGGTGATGTGTATACAGATTACGTGGCCACACGATGGTACAGGGCTCCCGAACTGGTATTAAAAGACACCACATATGGGAAGTATGTGTTTTTATTTATATACCTTATTATTAAGGTGGCATGGAGAACGATTTTTAGACCTTACATTTTTTAGTGCACTATAGTACTACAGGTGGTCCCTGAGTTACGAACACATCAACTTATGACTGTTTGTACTTATGACCAACCTCCCATTAAGCGCATTACAGCCGATCCCCAAGTTATGAACGCGCGATCCACACTTACGAACAGCGCGGTCACATTTAAATGAATGGAATCCAACTTACAAATAGATCGAGTTACGACCAAGTGTTTGGAACGTAACTCGTTCGTAAGTCGGGGACTATCTGTATTGACAAAATCCAGAAATTAATTTACCCGTATGTGGAATAATTTTCATATAAAAGTCATGTTAAACCAACAAAGCAATTTAAAATCACTTCAACAAATTAAATCCCTAGTGTCTGGGCATAGTAGGGGCACCTTAAATATGCTCTGTCACATGTTTTAAAGAGTGGCTTTTGTTTTGTTAGGGGAGAGTAAAATAATAACAGAAATGCATTCCCAATACCCAATAAAATGTTCACATATATGGGCTCACTTATATGAATTTATGGCTTGATCTTGAAGCAATTGAACTTTTACTGACTTCAGTGGTGCATAGTCTACCATTAAACAGAATACTCTAAATTTGTAGACTATGCAGCTTCTCAATACTTGTTGTATAGTTCCTAGACAGATGGTAATCCTTTAAGTGTTACTATACCAAAATCATAATCTTTAATCAGATTAGGGATATTATCTGAGTCACAAAAAGAGGATTAAGAGAAATGTCATGAAACAAGATACAGAAATATTTAGCAATTCAATATGAATATGCTAATTAAAGTTCTGCTGTTAAGTATAGCTTTTGGAGAGTAATATGCCAAATTCACTCATAATACATGTTAATGCTGCTACACACATGTAAGGACTGTCTTACTAGATAGTTTTGTAGCTCTTCATATACAATTGTAGGTCTTCATATACAATTACACAAACTAAAGGAATTTCTCAGTGAAATGCTGCAATATTATTTTTTAATTGGGAAGATATTTTAAAGTGCGGCTAAGTCTGTTTTATCCTTTTGTATTGTCAAATATTTTGCTATCTTAGGGTGTGCACTCGGAGCTCGAAATAAGATATGCAATTTGAGCTGCACAAATTGCGTAGCTTATTTCAAGTTAATTTTGAAATAGAGCACTATTCCTAAACGTCCCTTCCTTCTTGTGGAATGAGGCTTACAGGGACGTCGGAATAGCGAGCCTGTTGTATTTCGAAATAACAGGTTTGCTCAAAAGACGCGGAATAGCTATTTCGGGATACTTTCAGTATCCCGAAATAGCGCCACAATATAGACATAGCCTAAGAGATATTTTAATTCTTTTAAAACATTTATTTTAAAATATCAGTTCTCTTCAAATATGTTTTATCTTAGCATTAGTCTTTATGTATTGTTGAACACTTTGTTCATTTCCTGATCTTAGACCTGTGGACATCTGGGCTTTAGGTTGTATGATTATTGAGATGGCCACTGGAAATCCTTATCTACCCAGCAGCTCTGACCTAGACCTACTCCATAAAATTGTGACAAAAGTAGGTGAGTATTGCTGGGGTATAATGCAGACAATATTTAAGAAAAACATTGTTACAGTATATCCATTTGATTGATGATTCTATAAATCATAGAAATGTCAGGTGGAAGGGACCTTTAGAACTCATCAACAAGTAGTCCTCCTTGACCTGTCCTAGACCAAGCCTTTTCTTTCAAACCTCCAGTGATGGAGATTCCACAACCTTCCTTGGAAGCGTATTCAATAACTTAATTACCTTTATAGTTAGAAAGTTTTTCCTATTATCTAACCCAATTCTCCCTTGCTGTAGATTAAGCACATTTATTCTTGTTTTACTTTCAGTAGACCTGAAGAACAATTGATTCCTGACTTATTTATAACAGTCCTTAATATATTTGAAGACTGTTATCAGAATCCCTCCTCCATCTTCTTTTCTCAGGATTAAACATTCCTACTTTTTTAAAATACATCCTCGCAATCAGGTTTTCTACACCTTTTATAATTTTTTTGCTCTCATCTGGATTCTTTCTAGTTTATCTAGATCTTTCTTAAATTGTAGCACCCAAAATGGACTCTGTACTCCTGTTTAGGCCTCACTAGTGCCAAGTCGAACAGGACAGTTCCCTCCCATGTCTTACATACGACACTTCTGCCACCGTGGAATGATTTTAGTCTTTTTAGCAACTGCATCACATTGGTGATTTATATTCAAATTGTGATGCACTGTAATCCCCACATACTTTTTGACAGTACTACTATCTCATCAGTTATATCCATTTTGTAGTTGTGTATTTGATTTTTCCTTCCTAAGTAAAATACTTTGCTTTTATCTTTATTGAATTTCATCTTGCTGAATTCAGGCCAATTCTCTTATTTTTCAAGGTTGTTTTTAATTCTAATCCTTTCCTTCAAAGTGCTTGTGTCCCCTCCCAATTTGGTGTAATGTACTAATTTTATAAGCATACTCTCCACTACATTATACAAGTCATTATAAAAATAACAAAACTGGATCCAGGACTCACACCATTATGACCCCACTGGATACATCCTCCCAATTGGAAACAAATAATCACTACTACTATTTGAGTACTGTCTTTTCTCTTTTGCACTGAGCTTCAGATCTGCAGCAATGTAAGTCCTGTTTATTTTATCCTCAGAACACTGAAACTATAAGAAGGAGAATTCTAATTGTAAAAATCCTTTCATAGTGAATATCCTTATTCATGCTGCTGGAGTAGTTTGTTCTGATCATCATCAGCAGCAGTTATAGATGCAAATACTGGACAGATCTGCTTTTTATGTAGTTTGCTACAAGTCTGAAACTATATAAAAAGCAGATACCTTCAGTAGAGAGTTGTTCTACACTGCAGATAATATTTGCTTTCCTCTTTGGGAGGGAAAGCATAGAGGGAAAAACAGAAAGCTGACATTGTTGCTGAATATTTTTCATCTTTACTTTGAAAATTAAAGGCATTTTTGCTGAGAGATTTTAAATTAAACTAATCTTAGCCATCCTTATGAATAATAGAATAAGAGTACTGTATTTATAGTCAATTATATGTATTTTAAGCACACTAATTTATTGACTGTTCACAGTGAATTTTGAAAACTGTATTTTCTTTCAGGGCATTTGACACCTCATCTTCAGAGTATTTTTATAAAGAGTCCAGTTTTTTCAGGGGTGGTCCTTCCAGAAGTCCAGCACCCTAAAAATGCAAGGAAAAAGTATCCTAAACTCTGTGCACTACTGGCAGATATGGTTCATGTATGTTAGAAGAGGTCTGAGTATCATGCTTGCTGATGATTATTATTTGTAACTATACATAATGTGTAGTACAGGGTTACTCAATTTTGGAAGCCCCGGGAGCCACAATGAGACTCACAGCACATACTGAGGGCTGCAACTTAAGTGTGGTTGCATATCCATGCAAATATATATGCAAATAGTTTCTTTCACACTGACGAGCATGAATACAAAATACTTCCCACAATGCCCCGGCATTCACAGCACCTCCTCTCTGGGGGCTAGAAACGCCAACACCCTGTACCCGTCTGTTCCAGCCAGCCCATCTGCTTGCATCTTTCAGTGCTTACCCCGCCTGGGAGATGCCTCACCATTGTGGAGTGTGTTTCCAGTGGAGACCTTGTTCAAAGGATCCCACCCTGAGGGCTGCAAACAAATGGACCGCATGTGGCCCGCAGGCCACACGTTGAGTAGTCCTGGTGTAGTATCATAGCATGCTAGAACTGGAAGGGACCTCGTGAAATTATCAAGTCCAGACCGCTGCCCTCACGGCAGGACCAAGCACCATCGAGGTTGTATTTCCCTAGTTTATTGATAAGAAGGTCATGCGAGACCTTATCAAATGCTTTACTAAAGTCTAGGTACACAACATCTACCACTTCCCTATTATCTACAAGACTTCTTATCCTATCAAAGAAAGCTATCACATTGGTTTGACATGATTTGTTCTTTACAATTCCATGCTGGCTGGCACCTTATTATCTTCCAGATGTTTGCAGATGAATTCCTTAATTATTTGCTCCATTATCTTTCCTGGCACAGAAGTTAAGTTGACTGGTCTGTAGTTTCCCAGGTTGTTCCTGTTTCCCTTTTTATAGCAGGACACTAGATGAAAATAAGATGTAAAGGAGAGGGCACTTAGGACCTCTGAGGAAGATGAAACCTAGATAGAAATGATGGGCTTCACCATAACCAAAGTGCTAATAAATAGGGTTGCCAGATGGTTTCAACAAAAATACGGGACACACTCGACATTACATCACAATCTACATTACATCTTATTTAGAAAATACCGGACATTTATATTTTCTCATTTATATTTTCTCAATTTGTTTCCCAAACAGAAAGCTCAAATACTGGACTGCCCGGTTCAAAACCGGACACCTGGCAACCCTACTGACAAAGGAAGCTACCATGATTTTGGGCTATTATTTAAATGAGGACCTGAGAGAAAATCAACAGGTGCCAAGAAGCACTCTGATTAGGGATGTCACTGGTTAACCCGTTAACTGAGAGCCCAGCTGGGCTGGAGCAGCTCCACCCCACCTGTGGTGGGTCTGGCCCAGCCATGACAGCCCAGGGCCACAGCAGGCCAGGCCTGGCTGGAGCAGCTTACATTGCAGCAGGCCTGGCCCAGCCCAAGCAGTCCCCACCTGTGGCAGGCCTCACCTGGCCAGAGCAGCCCACAGCACAGCAGGCCCAGCTGAGCTGAAGCAGCCCTTCACCCATGCCATAGGCAGGGGACTGCTCCATTCTGACCAGGCTTGCCATGCCATGCCATGAGGCCACTCCTGTCCCCCTATGTTGGAATGGCCCCTCGCCCATGGAGTCCATTTAGCAGTTAACAGTTCTATTTAAGTATTAAACATTATGTTTTATCAATTACTGATTAAATGGGATTTTACATCCCAAGCTCTGATTGGACAAAGACATCTGGAAAACATCTAAGGATGTTAGTAATACAAAGAAAACTGCATCCTATAAAGGATAGGTCATAAATTATACACAGCATAGAGGAAGGCCAGGTTGAGACTGCTTAGTTAAATTCAAGAATAGCAACAAGGTATCAGAGTAAGGAGTTAAATGAACAAAGGCACACAATCAAATATAATTATGGAAGGGCCAGATGCTTGGTCACTTAGGCTTCCTTGATAGTGTGAAAACTGCCCTAAAGAGAAAGTAAAGGCACCCCCATTCCCACCCTGATGGGAGAAAATCCTTGGTTGGTTTAAGTTGCTAGGACCTGCTTGATGTCACTCCCTTTTCCAACCCTCTTAAGTAGGAGGAGATAATGATGGCTTAGAGCCATCTTCCACCCAACTGACACTGAACAGAGTTTGGTTACAGCTAGAGATCTGTTCCTAAAATATCTATACCAACACAAAAAGCTTTACAGTGAAAATAATTGAACTGGATTGTATAGCTGTAGAAGAGGACCTAGATGTAATAGGCAATACTGAAGCATGGTGCAATAACAAAAAAAATCAGTGGAATAATGTTATAGAGGACTTTCAGCTGTATAGGAAGAACAGATGAGAACATAGAGGCAGTGAATAGTGAAATACCTGAAAGATGCTTGGACTCTTAATGAGACATTATATCTAACAGGATTGGACTATACTATAGAATTTGTATGGCTACAAATCTCAGGTTGTGTGAATACAAATATACTAACAGCTCTAAAATTTAGTTAATTGCAAGCCTGTGTTACACTATTATTACAGGCAGTAATACACAACATTGCTTATATCAGTGGTCTCCAACCTTTTTACACCCAAGATCACTTTTTGAATGACAGACCAAGCCAAGATCTACCGCCCCACCCCTTCCTTGAAGCCCCGCCCTCTCTATTCTCCTCTTCTCCATCACTTGCTTTCCCCAATCCTTATACTGCTACTTTAAAAAAAAATTCCCACCATTTCTCGCAGCTACTCATCTGTGCTGTTGCTTGGTGAGTAGCTGCTCCTCAAATGAGGAAATCTAATGTAAATGTACTGCGCAGGTGCACAGTTCAGAGAGGGCTCAAGAGCTACTCTTAGAGCCTCCGAGATCTACCAGTAGATCGCGATCTACTGGTCGGTGACCGCGGGCTTATATTATACTTAACATATGTGATTAAAAATTCCTTCTAAAATAATCCTTCTAATGTTTTACAGGCATGTCTACAAATGGATCCCAGTGATAGGATCTCTTCTACAGATTTGCTGCAGCATGACTATTTTACTAGAGATGGATTTATTGAAAAGTAAATATTTTGTTGGCCACTACAACATCAAAAGCCTTTTCGGATTTTTAATAATTTATATGAGTGTTGTAAGAGCTACAATACATAAGGAAGTATGTGATATACAAATATACAAGGGTAATAATTGAAACCAAATGTATTTCTGTGAAGTTATAGGAACATTCAATGACTGTCTGTTTTATCCTTAAGATCTAAAAGAATTCAGCATCCTTGTAGGTAGTAGATCATGATGAAAGTTATGCTTCATTTATTTCTTGAACCCACTCTGCCCAGTTGGTGGATCTAGAGTAGATGAGGACATAAATTACAGCTGTTCTTCCTGCCAACAGTAAACCAGAGATGGGAATAAGAATATGGAAGTGTCCCCAAAATTGAAGATGAGGCTTTTAGGAAAAAAGGTCTATAAGATAAATTGAGAAATGTTAGCTGTTATGTCCTCCCAAAAGGCTTTGATACAGGAGTGATTTCAGAAATTCTGATCATGGCCCTATTATAGTGGGCCAGCTCCTCCAATGTGGTAAGTCATCATGATTGTGTTGACTTTAATAGTGCTGTGATAACTTACACTAGTTGAAGGACTCAGCCCTTTGTCCATCATAAAATAATCACTGCTAATTCTGCATAAATCACAGAAAATGAATTTTACCCCCATATGAGATATAATTGAATATTCCCAAGCCTTTATATAACATAAAAACAAGGGACATTTTACTTCTCTGTCATTTTGATTTGGTGATTCGTTTATAAAGTAAAAATAGCAAATTAAATGGAAGAAATCCTGGAATTCAAAGCACTGATACAATTACAGAAAATCTGAAAATACTGCCAAGAACATAAATAGTAACGTATAAAGCTACACATCTAACCAGAAAAACTACTGTATAATTATAAGCGGGGGTGGCAGCACTCTCTATTATTAAGGTTGCCCAACAATTCTCACTATAAGACCTGGTTTTCAGTTGCTTTAACTTCTTGGGCTAATATTTTACATGCCAGGTGTCTACCACTGGCCGATTGTTTTTCTTACAAATTTTAGTAAAAATGGTTCTGTTGTTTTTGAGACTGAAGGAAAAGAAAATATGTTTTTGCCTGTGTTAAAAAATACTGGCAATTTTTGCTTTGAACAGCACTGTCATAGCCATTGTTTGAGAACAAGACCTTGACATTTGTCTCATGGATATACTTTTTGCTATCCTAGTAAAAATCCAAGTCTGAGCAAGTTACAAGCCTTTGCAAAATTACTTTGTGTGCGCTTGAGACTTCTTTCATTTTAGTAGCTAAAATTTCCAAAAATTCCATCCTAAGAATACTTCATCTACTCCTAGGTCCTGGTATTGACCAGTCTCTGCATATGCATTGCCACAGAGTGCCTGAGCATGTTCCCTTCTTCCCAAAGCTCAGGGGCAAAACTGGGATTTCCCTTAATGGCTCTCATCTGCTCTGGGATGAGGTGAGACCAGGCAGTGGTGCTGAGAGCAAAGAGCCTGTCTCTTCACAGCCTTCAGTGCCCCCTGATCTGGCTGACACCCAGGCAGGATGGAGGAAGAAGCCATCTTCAAATGCAGTGGGGACAGAAGCTGGACCATGGGGTAGGAAAAGAGTAAAAAGAGGCAAGCAGTCAAATGGGATTGAGAGTGGGGGAGAAGGAAGAGAAATGGAAATAGGTGGGGCAAGCAGATTAAAGCTATGAATTGAGGGGAAAAGAATAATGAGACTGGGAGGAAAGTCTGGAGCCTGAGGAGGGAAAGGGAGTTTGGGACTGGAATCTGGAACAGGGTGTAGTGGGAGGCTGAGAAAGGAGATTAGGATTGGATAAGTAGATGGGGAGAAATAAGCGTGGTAAGGGGAATTTGGACTCAGAAAGCAAGTCCCAAAGCAGACTGTAGGATTGGAATGAGAAACTTGTGGAAAAATACTATGTAATCATGTTATTAAAGACTGTATCATAAAGCATATGCACAGGGGATCCAAATTAAGGTCACCTTAATTCTGGCATTTCCTAATTTAGGCTACGTCTACTCTGCAACACTATTTCGGGATGCCTGAGTATCCCAAAAAAGCTATCCCATATCTTAATAGCAAGCCTGTTATTTCAGGCTCACTATTCCGATGTCCCTGTAAACCTCATTCCACGAGGAGTAAGGGACGTTTCGGAATAGCGGGTTATTTTGAAATTTGGTGCTGTGTAGACAGTGCCAAATTACAAAATAAGCTATTTTGAAATCTGATTGAAATAAGACACTGAATTTGCATAGTTCAAATTGGGTATCTTATTTCCAACTACAGTGCGGTGTAGACATAGCCTTGTAGAGCTTGACTTTGCAACCTTAAAAATGTTTCAGTAGCATTTTACAAATTCTAAAGCATTTTGGAAAATAGATTTTCTCTAATACGTAGGCTAAGTCTAGACTGTAGAGCTTTGCTTTGCCGCATCCAAGGAACACGTTTGCTTTTTTGGAACAATTTCTGAAAAGGTGGACGCATTTTTTCACCATCCCTGTAATCCTCGTTCTACAAGGAAGAATGGATGTGCTGAAAGAGGAGGTTTTTCCGAAATTTGGCACCGTATAGAGGGGCCAAATTTGGGGACAGCCTCTTTCAAAAGAAAAGCAGAAAAAGATATACAAATTGCAGTTTGCAATTTGCTTATATTTTTCAAACTTTTCTTTGCAGTGTAGACCTAGCCATACAGAGGACATGATGGTGTTGGTAGAATAAAGATTTTATCAAAATTCTTTTGGGCTAGCCTTTCTAATTTACTCTTAATTTCATCACTCATCGGTAATGCAGCCATTCCTAAAACTTTGTTATACCACACTGCTTTATATTACACCACACTGTCCGGTATGTCAGTAGTTAGCCAGCTTTACTTATAGGACCTGTTCTGATGCCCACTGAAGTTGGTTGGATTTCTGGAGTTTCATGGTGTTGTAATTATAGGCTTCCTGACCCAAAAAAGGAGTTGGGGGGCGGGGGTCACAAAGTTATTGCAGAGAGGTTGCAGTACTACTACCCTGACTGCTGTGTTGCTGCTGGTGGTGGTGCTGCCTTCAGAGCTGGGCACCCAACCAATCGTTCTCTCTCTCTGGCTGCTCAGCTCTGAAGGCAATACAGGAGTAAGGGTGACAGATCGTGACTCCCCTGTAACTCTCTTGTAACCCCACTGTAACTCTTATTTTGTTAGGGCCCCCAATATGAGAAAAATTGGTCTCTATCATGAAACTGGTACAGTATAGGATAAAAGCACACAAAAGACCATATATCACTGTGGTGGAAGACCAGATTTCACTGTGTGTGATGCTTTTTCTGTGATCATGAATTTGGTAGGGCCCTGTTTTTGACCTGGGGATGCAATTCCCAATGCGCATACACATTGACTCATTAATTCCCATTCAGCTAATGTGCTAAAAATAGTAGTGTAACCATGGTAGCATGTGCAGTGGCAAATATTGGCATGGGCTAGCCACCCAGAGAATGTACCCAGGAGTTATACTTGAGGTGGCTAGTCCTTGCTGCTGCTTGCCACTGCCTATGCTACAGAAGCTACACTTCTGTTTTATCTCAGTGAAACCTAATGCAAGTATGTATATGTGAGCAGGGGAATTACATTCCTTTTGCATGCAAAAAATGTATATTTTTTCCCAGTATACACACCCTCAGAGAAGCAGGCATAATGTCTACACCTAAAACACTACAGCAGCACAACTGTGTTTCAGCTGAACTGCTGTAGTGCTTCATGGGGTATGTCTACATGTAAGATCCTACAGCTGTCTACTCTGGGGTTTAAGTCACCTTAGAGTAGTGATGTTAAAATGTGTTTAATTATGTGATTGTATAACTTCTGAAATTTCAGCAGTTATACACAGGAGGGGGCAGATGGCTTCTTCCTCCCACCCTACACTGCTGCCTCTGATGGGGGCAGTCTGGAGTCGGTGCGCATACATGGTGGGATGGGTGTCTTCATATAACGTGTAAACTGTTACACTTTCATATTCCTACCTTAGGGGCATATTTTTTACACCCTTGAGTGACATAGTGCTGTTTTAGCAAAGACAAAACAAGAGTAGACATTACTTATGCTGAAGGGAGAGTTTCTCATATCACTATAGATTATTTGCCTCCCTGAGAAGCAGTAGCTAGATTGATGGAAGAATTCTTTCATCAACCTAGCACTGTCTACACTACAGGGTAGGTTTTCTATAGTTATGCTCTCAAGGATGTGGATTTTTCTTGCCATTGGAAGATGTAATTATACAGATGCAAGTTTTGAGTGTAGATGAGCCATAAAAGTTTGATATTCCAGCTGTCTGTTGTACCAGTTGTGTACAATAATTTCAATAGTTTAGTTTCTCTGTGTTATAGTTCTGAGAACTAGTGTCAGCCATGCTTCTTGAAACTGATTTCTAGTGGCCAGAAAAAAAACAAAACAAAACATGAAATTGAATTAATGATTTAGAATAACACCATACTTTTCAGTTTGTAAGTATAACTAACTGCTAATTAGACCTGATGCAAAACAATAGTATGCAAACTATATAAGTGTGAAATTTCCTTTTTGCAGGACTAATTATGCTGGTTTCAAGAATTTAGGGGGGAAAAAGAAACCCTAAAGCATATCTTAAAAATGTTGCAGAGCTAGTGAAACATTTGTTGAATCAGTCAGAGCTCAAAAGAGATCTTGTTACTATGTGAAGTCAAGAATTTTCCTTGGACTTTAGAACAACAATAAATAGGCTGGTACATAATTTGTCAACATTAAAATTGAACTTGAATACATTTTGCTGTGTGAAAAAGATTTTATAAGGATCATAGTTTGCTTAATACCAAACACTTTTTGAAAACCTTTGTCCAAAGAGCCAAAATTAAATTTGTAAAAGATACTACGTCCTTTATTGACATGCTTTATAGTTTATAGCAAATATAGTGTCATCATGTATATATCTGCTAATGAGATATTGGGCAGGTAAATTTGTTATGTAAAGAATTAAGTATTGGCCATAAAATGTTAAGAAAAAAACTATATATATGAAAATAAAAAGAACATTTCACTTTATCAGATTCTTACCAGAATTGAAGGCTAAATTATTTCAGGAAGCAAAGTTAAATTCTCTTTCAAAACTCAGAGAGAATAATAAAGAGATTGAACTAATAAAAGATGAAAAGAGAACTGTTCAGATTAATATCTCTCAGAATGGTCCAGTGGCTGGGAAGGTGAGAATTAACTTTCTTAAAATATTTATTGCTGGCCTAAATTATCATCTTAAACTGTAAAAATACAATATAGAGGTATAATAGAACCTTAGAGTTACAAACACCTCATGAATGGGGACTGCTCGTAACTTTGAAATGTTTATAACTCTGAACAAAACATTACAGTTGTTCTGTCAGTGGCTGAACATTGACTTAATATAGCTTTGAAACTTTACTATGCAGAAGAAAAATGCTGCATTCCTTTTTTTTAGTAGTTTAATACAATAATGTACTGTATTTGCTTCACGCCCCTTCCCCCCCGCCCCCCGCTTCCTGATTGTGTATTTCTGGTTCCAAATGAGGTATGTGGTTGACTGGTCAGTTTGAAACTCCTATGTTCATAACTCTGAGGTTCTACTGCAATAGATTGGACTGTGTCTTTGAAGTCAGTGTAGTTACAGTAAGAATTAATGTGGCCTGTTACATTTAGAGAGACGTATGTTATCAAAATGAAACAAAATTATTAATCACTACAGCCTCTCCCCAAGTTACGAATGAGTTACGGACCAAACACTTGGCCGTAACTCAATTTGTTTGTAACTCGGACCCCATTGAGTTACATAGCGACCGCGCTGTTTGTAAGTGCAGGTCACGTGTGTAACTCGGGGACCGCCTTTACGACCGCTTCATGGGAGCTTTGATCATAAATGTGAACAATTGTAACTCGACCGTTTGCAAATCGGGGACCAGCTGTATTTTATATTTTGATATATTCATTGGGGCCCTAATTCAGAAGTCAACCCTAATGAAGCAAAGCATTTAAATACATGCTTAACTTTAGGGAAAGTCTTAAGCAGATGCTTAAATTCTTTGATGAACTAAACGTCTAGATGTCTGTAACTGGAGTAAATCTGATGAAAAGGCAATGAAAGAGGGAAGCTTCAAAGACATTCTGAGGGTCCTCTGTGACTTCCTAACCTACATGCTAGCTACCTGTATATATAACGCTTTCTACTGCCATTCATACTACAGATGTTTTGGGACAATAATACCAAAGATACTTCCAATTGTAAAGTGATCCTCAAACTAGGGAGCAGAAAAGTTTTCTTTGGAGATTTGCAAATTATTATTTATTCATATTGTGATAGCACCAAAATTGTGCTAAACACTTTCCAAAGACAGATGAAAACACATACCCTGTCTTGAGACCACTGCCATTAGAGTAATCTATAGCGTTAGTGTTGTTCAGAAACACCAATAAAATACAAATAGCAACACTGACACTATATGGAGATGCTAGGTTCTGGAATAATCATAATATTCCAGAAACAAATAGCACTGTCTTAAAGAGACATCATTAATCTAAAACCCAGTCAATTTCAAAACAAATTAAAAGTACTTCGCAAATTCTATGGTTTTGCAATCGCACCTCCCTATTTGTAAAAAATTTTTTTGTTTAATGTTCTCTGTTGTGTGAATGACCAACACAAATTAAACAAGAGTTTGACTGGTTATAAAAAGATGAACTGACCTTACACGTAGTACTGTCAAATGATAAAAATAAAAAAATAGAGGATTTTGTCTTTAATTGCTTTTAGTTACAGTAAGTAATTTTGGTTGTTACTTGTAGCAGTATTCTGACAGAAGTGTTAATTTTTTTGTTGACTGCGTGTCTCTTTAAAGCATGTTCCTTTTGTTCCCCTAGCTACACTTTTCAGGTTGGAGAGATCCTTTAATTCCAGATTCCATTTAGAGCAGTAGAAAAATATATTCAAATGAGTGGTCTAAATTTAGTTAACGTTTTGTTTTTCTCAGGCCACATCCTATTTCCTAGATGAAGGCATTTATGAAGGTTATTCTGCTGATAACATCCTGACCAGAAGCTAATTGCCTACTGTTAGGTAAGTGATATTTTCCCCTCTCCTTCCCTTCTCTGGGTCTAGCGAGGGTAGACAGAGAGGAAGATCAAAGTGTTAGGCTCAGTTTGTGGGTGGGAAGCCAAAAATAAAAGTGAGTCCTCAGCGGGAAGGAAGCCTTTGACAGGGCAAACAGCTGCGTCTGCCTACGCACTCTCTCTCTCACTCACATTCACTCATTCTCTGTTTCTCCCCTGAGTAGCTCCTGTTCTGTTCTTCCTTCTGTTGGCAACATGCTTCCCTCACCAGCTGATCTACAACTTAAAATTGGGGGAATAAACCTATTTGGGGAATAGGAGATGAGCTGGTGAGTGAAGCAAGCTAGTGCTGATCGAGAGCAGTGAGGCCTAGGAATGACCTGACTTCTGGCACTAGACTCAGAACCCTTCAAGAGATAAAGGCACTTCCTAATCACTATGTATAGAAGTGATTGTTTGGCCTGTCAGCAGCTACCTTTTGTACATATGTTTGGTTCATTTGTTATGTCACCCTCCAACCAACCCTAGGACTGTAGTCCTCCTAAAAGACACAGAACAATAATCAAATCAAGGGAAATATGGGGGAAACATAGTTCTAGTAGCTTGCTAGACCTTCATTTAAGAGATGGGGGAAATGTCACTTACCTGTTGTTGCAATGTCCCAATATTATTGTTGGTATCCTATCTGCTCTGGCCAGTCATCATCAACAGAGTAACCTCAGCTCTGAGGAGCAAGGACTGGGAAAAAGAAAATGAGATCTCACATTAAACTACTGACTTGAAACTTTTGTTGTTATTAATTTTAAGCGGTAGCTGGAGTTTTATTCTGCTATGTGGCTGCCAAGTTAAATGGTCCTTTTATTAAAACTTTGATTTTTAGAAGTTTTCAAGCTATTAAATGGCAAAGGAGTTTCCATGAAACAAACTTGGTGTAAAAAATGCAGTTTGTTTTCCTCTAGTGGGACAGCTATATAATAGTTTATTATTATTTATTTTAAAATGGTAAAAGGGTATTGGCATCATCATTTAATGCTTGAATTTGAAAAAATGAATTTAAAGGTTCTAAAAATAGACCTTTGTTGTTCTGAAAAGAGCATTAGGACTTCCAAAGCATAAACAATGGTAAGGCCCAGACTTGCAGGGCAGTAAGTACTCTCCACTCTCACTGAACTCAATTGGAATTGGAAGACACTGAACCCCTCACATGACCAGGATCTAGCAGACTCAATTTGGTGACATTTTATGTTTCAGACTGTATATATATTTTGATGTAGTATCTGTTCCAGGACATTGAAAAGGACAAAAAATCCAAGGACTTAAAAGTAAAAGGTACAAAACTGAAAGGTGGGAAACCAGAGATTACAGAGATAAAAAAGATTGAACAAGAAGATGCAGTTAGTCAATGGACTCCCTCCTCACAGAATCCTCCCAGTTTTCCTCAAGAGAATAAACCTGCAATCACTGATATAACCACCACTGTAGCTGCTAGCCATGATCCCAGCGGTGTGAAGGAAGATGCTCCACTAATAGCCGTTTGTATAACAATGCCACCCATCAATCCAAATTGTGGGAACCTTACAGCTGCAAATTTCAATTCACCTTTCCCACACTCCAATACAAGGTTAGAGCCGATTGCTTACATGGTGAGGTAATGCTTGAATAAATAATCTTTATTTAATAAAAGTATATTTTGAAATTAATTCAGTTTTACCATATTTATGTACCTAGTGATGGTTCGATCAAATGAATAATTCTTTCATTTGGATAATGTTCTGTATGACTTAGGCTCAAAGGCCAGCTGTGACAGTGACACTTGACAGTGCATCCCTTGTGGCTGCTTCATCTTTAGTACAGAGATGGAGCCTGGGAGATTACCCATCCTGATATGGTTTGAGCCAGGTCAGGTTTCTTGGGTCAAAGATAGAACAGTCATTTCTACAGGTCACACCTCTATTGAAATGACAGCAACTGGTCTTTCAGAAGAAGATCCCTATAATAGACTACTTTTTTTTTCAAATGTAGCTTTTCAGATTTTAACAGGTTGGCAATGTGGTCCTCTGGCTGGAGGGTGAGCAGTGCAAAAGTGGCTGCAGTATGGTGATGGTGATGGGTATCTGTAAATATTATGGGAGATGTAGATAGATGCATTGTCAGAGGAAAGGTCTCAAAGCTGGAGCTTCTGCATATGAATCCTTTCCCTAACCGTGACTCCCTTTATGATCTTAGATCAGTGACCTTAGCCTTTCTTTTGTCTGTTTCCCATCCTATTGGGAATAATATTTCCTATCATCTTACAAGAATGGTATAAAATGAATTAGTTAATGTCATTAAAATAATTAGAACATGAATGTTGTGTTTAAATGCTAAATATTACTATTAAATAGCAGCGTCCAGGGCTTTGTTGAGATATAATGATAGAGATGCAGCCATGTTAGTCTGGTCTAGACACTTCGCCAAAGAATCAATACACACAAAACAGACATAAGACTCTCTCACAGAGAGAAAGCTGTTGCTTGCCATTTCAGCCAGACTGACCATTCTCTCAATGACCTTAAAACATGCATATTGCTTCAAAGAGATTTTAACTCCAGACTTCAAAGAGAAGCTTCAGAATTGTCATTCATGCTTAAATTTGACACTTTATGTATGGGTCTCAACAAAGATTCTAATTATCTCACCCATTACAAAGATAGCTTCCCTAATTATCACCCCTACTATCATTACCTCACAGACACAAACCTTCCCCCTTCACTCCCACTCTGTTCTAAAATTTGATTTTTCAATTTCATATGTGTTAATTTTTTTTTATTGTATCACTTTGGTGTATATGGTTGTGCCAACTTTATTCCACAAATTGATCTGAGGAAGTGGGTCTGGCCCACGAAAGCTCATCACCTAATAAACCATCTTGTTAGTCTTTAAAGTGCTACATAGTTCTGTCTTTTGTTGAGATATGTCTGTTCTCAGATGCAGACACCATCCCCACCAGCAAATCTAATTTAGAATACATTTGTGAATGTGCATGTTTGTTTACACAATGAGAGCTTATAGTACTTAGCCAACAATTAATGTTGCATATTATAGTCATATTTATTTATAATAGGCTACCCGAAAAAGCAAAGAAAAGGAGAAGCCCTTGGCAGTCAGTGGGACAAATAGGTCCAAACAGACAGGATGATGGAACACTGGCTCAAGTATGTTTACAAAACTGGTAACTTATAAATAAACCTGTTCTCCTTTCCATAATAGTCTGCTTTTTATCCTATTGTCTTATCTATTTTTATGTTTCCTGTAGACAAATAATAAGATGTCTACATTGTGAAACTCTTATATAAGAACAGGAGAGATAAGGCTTCTGGAGACTCCCAGGTGAAGGGGGCAGCTCCAGAAACTAGAATAAAAGAAATTCAGACTCTGGATGAGATCCTGGACCCATAAATGGGTGTTTCACCATTGACTTCAGTAAATCCAGATTTTCCCTTATATTTCAGAGAGAGTTTTACACTTTCACTTACATCTTTCTCACTAGCATTCAGTTTTCTCCATGATAATCCTTGACCAATTTTCATAACCCTATCATCCTCCCAACAATCCCACTTTTTGGTATTAACAAATACACTTATCTGCTGTGTCTCAGGTCAACTGACCATTCCCACCTGCAAAGAGGTATGGCAAAATAATTGCATGCTTCTGTTCTTCATCTTTAAATTAGTAAGTTGGCTAACTATACATGGTGATGTAAATGCCTATGTCCCCAGACACCATCACCTAGAAAGAAGCAAGATTTACAGTAGTATGATAGACCGTTTTTGAAAGATAAAAATTCTAAATGTTCTCTTATCTCATAATGGTGATTCATAACTGGAAGTAATATATAGTTAGCTTTCTCTAGCACAGTGTTTCTCAAAGTGAGCTGCAGGCTGCACCGCTTTGTTTACCTAAAGTGTCCATAGTCCATTGACCCCGGTTTGCTGTTTTCAGCCAAGGGGAGCCGTAGGAAGTGGTGGCCTAGACCATGCCACTTTCCGCGGCTCCACATAGCTGGAAACAGTGAACTGGAGCCATTCGGAGCTGTGAAGTTCCGTGGTTACCTACCCTTTAGGTAAACTAAGTGGCACAGGCCCACTAGTAGCTTTCCAAAAGTGGGCTCGTGGCCCAGTTTGAGAAATTGTTCTAGCACATGAAGACCATGGCTTTTGGAACACTATTGACATTTGAACTTTTAATGTATTTTACTCTGTGTAGTTGAAACATGCCAAGAAACATACAGATAACAGCCATACTCATATCAAATACAGTTTTAAATATATTGTGATTTCCATTTAGACTCAAACAGAAAAAGTCACAATGTATGAACGAGCTGCTCAGATTGAGCAGACAGCCAACCGAAAGAAACGCAGTATTTCAAAATCTGAGAAGAAAGACATCCATTTCCCAGAACTGACAACAACAGCACAACAAAAAGAGATGAAAGGAATGGAAGGTATGAAATTATAATTGACTTTTGCTGTTTTCAAATCTGCATCAAGTGCTAGTTGAAGAGAAGGGTTAATCTAACCAAGACTTACATACCAATATGTGATTTTGATGGAAGGTGCTGAGGAAAAAAAGGCATCAAATTAGACAAAATCACTGCTGTGCATTCATCTGAGTCTTTGAACTGGATAAGCATTCTCATTTGCAAATCAAAGTTAGCACCATCTTTTAAAGAGGTCGTTTATTTTTAACTTGTTAAATAAACCTTCAATATAGTTCGGAATTTTTTGTCAGATTATTTTTATTTTATTTTATTTTATTTTATTTTATTTTATGAATGTGAAGTGCCAGACAAATAAGCTTCAATGTGGATTTCTAGAGAAACAGCAATATCTTCCATTGTTATAGGCAGTTAAAATGTAGCTATGCTGGTACCAGGTTATTGGAGAGACAAGCTTGGTGAGGTAGTATCTTTTATTAGACCAGCTTCTGGACAAGAGATCTGTGTAAGCTCAAAAGCTTGTCTTTCTCACCAACAGAAGCTGGTCCAAGAAAAGATATTACCTCACCTACCTTGTTTGCTTTTGGAAAATAATGACATCTAGAGTCCAATTTAAGTAACAGCAGGTGTGTTTCCAAATGGACACCTTTTATAGTGTCCTATAATTGGATTTTGTAATTATAAAATGATCAGCCTGAATTTAAATGGGAACTGAATCTCATATTCAGTTACGGTTGTCTTCTTCTGTAATCTCCATACTCAAATTTCAGTATGACCCTGGTTTTCTTCCTCAACACTATTTCAACAGTAATGAATTAAACGTAGAAGATGAAACTGAAGGAGCATGTACAAAGGAAAAATACAATATGTGGAAATAATGAGGTATCTATTTGTAAAAGTTAAACAGGTAAAAGTGCTGAAGAGAGAGTCAAAGAAATCTGAAGTATCTAAAATACCATCTTTATTAAATGTGGATCAGAATCAAGAAAAACAAGAGGTAAATTAATACTTTATCTTGAAGCTTCAGGGGGTAGCCAAATTAGTCTGTACTGGATAAACTTAAAAAACAACAAATGATCTGGTAGCACTTTATAGAGTTTTGTTTTTTAAGTTTATTTTATACTATATGTTTGTTTAGTAAAGAAGTTTTGCAGGGTGGGCTGTTGACTAACTATGTGAACATGAGGGAAAATCAAGTTTTGTGTTTTAGTCAACTTAGCTGGAAATTGGATGAAAACTTAAAATCAAGATCTCATTAAAAACCAGATATTGTATCTCTAGTCCAGCAACCTTGGGACCTGATTGGTGCTGAACCAGAGAATTTGCCAAACTACAGGATGTCAGTATTGTCCCTCTAGCAGCATTACCAATACTTCCACTGTTTACTGGGCTCTTAGAAGACATTTAGGAGTAAATTAGAGCTAATTAACAGCTATAAGTTTCCCTTGTTCAGTAACTTTCTAAAAAGTATGTTGCATAATTAAGTTTTAAAATAATTATAGCGGTTATTAGCCACATTTCTAACAAAGTATCAGAAAACATAGCTACTGCTTCAGAATGTAATGCATGATTAAGAATGGGAACTTTACTTAAGGTGAAGATAAATTACTACAACTGGCAAACAATTGTTCTACTGTCAGAATCCATGACTGTAGAGAATACATTGAACATAATATACAATAAACCAGTTCAGACTTGGTGTCATCAGGTGCCACTAAATAGACTTTACTGAGCTGGTAGTGATTTTGTTCACTATTTCCCCCTGAAACTACTTGCTTCCCATTTTCTGACAATGCAATCAAAAAGGGTAACTGTTCATGCTACTGTTTGGAAGGTCCAGAAGCAGATCTGCCAATTGTCTGAAGGTTTCTCTGCACTCAAGCAGGGCATAAAAATCAATCCAAACCTTTTTCTGCCCTGTAAAGGAAAGGGATTTTCAAATTTGCATTGCAGCCAAACACATAGTAATTATTCACTCCAAAGCTATACAGGCAGTCCCCGGGTTACATGGATCCGACTTACATCGGATCCCTACTTACAAACGGGGTGAGGCAACCCCGCACTAGCTGCTTCCCCCCAGCAGACCAGGGAGACGTGAAGCTAGCCCCCCCCCCCCCCGCAGACCAGGGAGACGCGGAGCGGCTTTTCTCAGCAGACACCTCAGCTTGAGAATAAAGGACTGAGGGAAGTGAGGTGTGGGAGAATAAAACTGAGCTCTGGAGAAATGTTTGGCTAGAGTCTCCCCTACAATATGTACCAGTTCCGACTTACATACAAATTCAACTTAAGAACAAACCTACAGTCCCTATCTTGTACGTAACCCAGGGACTGCCTGTACAAATCTGGAAGAGGATAGAAGGATCAGAGTATGGTATCCTAGATGCTAAACACAAAACCATCTCCCTTCAGTATTTCCCAATCTAAATTTATACACAGTTCTAATATTTAGCAGTTCATAGTTCTGAAACACTGTACAAATATTAAACTTCAGAATATCTCTATGAAGCAGCAAAGTATCATTTTCTCCATTTTTCCAGAAGGAGAAATTGAGACCCAGAAAAACTCAACACAGGTCGTCGCTTGCCCAAAGAATCATTTTTAATCCATGTTAGACTAGGATTCGAATTCAGGAGTTTCTGTTCCACTAGGTCACACTGCCCCTGGGTATCATAGGGCACGTCTAAACTGTGTTTACTTTCAAAAGAAGATATGCAAATTCGGTGGGAATTTTCATATCGTCTTCCGATTGCTTTTTCGAAAGAGTTTTTTTCAAAAAAGCAAGCAGTCTAGACATGGTTCTTTCGAAATCCCTCTTCCCCCCTTTTTTTAAAGAACCTTCTTCCTCAAGAATTGCGGTTTACAAGTTCTTTCGAAAAAAGTTTTTTTTTCTAAAGAACTGTGTCTAGACTACTTGCTTTTAAAAAAAAACCCGAAAAAACAATCAGAAGAAGATATGCAAATTCCCACCGAATTTGCATATCTTCTTTCGAAAGTAAAATGTAGTCTAGACATGCCCATAATTAGGTACTGTATGAAATCCATTGATGTGTGTGCAAGAAGACCAGAATTTCAGTAGATAATGCATTGTTCCATGATGGTTCATTTTTAGCATAGACAGTGTTTAATAGAAGGACATGATCTTACAAACCGTCACCTATAAAAAGAATAGATCTCATGCAGTGTCCCTTGTGCTAGACACTCCATTAATTCATGTATACTGTCACCAACAGCTTAGGCTTTAAATGTAATAGAAGAAAGAACAAGCATTGCAACATTTGTGGGCATGTCAGTGAATAAAATAGTGTACCAAACACACCTTCTTTTTGCCTTTACCATGCTAGATCACATGGTTATGAAATTATATTAAATATTACTTTATGGTAAGAAAGACTGAAAACATAGATTTGCAATCCATTGTAAAATGCATACTTTATGCAGAAATTATTATAAAGTCTGTAACTTATATGTACTGCATATTTTGTAGTATAACCTTAAATTCTCTGTATCGCAGTTCCCTCAGACATAAAATGAAATGATCATCCTTAGCTAATCTTTTTTGAGGAAAAGTGATGTATAAATGTCAGGTTAAGTAGGCCATATCCTGAGATTCTTACTCCATTTTTATTGAGGTCAGTTCCCACTAGAGACTTACTACTTACCTGAGTAAGAGCTGACAGAAAAATTGAGTAAGGGCCTAAGGATTTTTTCCTTTATTATTTGATTGTATTTTCCATAATTTTCAGACTTCATATATTTACACAGTGAGAACTGAACTGTGCCAGATAGAAAAGTCCAGCCAGCTTCCATGATATAAAATGCTTCAGGGGTAGGGATGTAAAATTTAGATTAATGGGCTAATCGAATAGTTGATGCAATTTGCATTGACTATTCAATTAGTCCATAAGGGCACCTTTGCCTTTGAAGTGTAGCAACCACTCCAGGGTTTAAAGGCGAAAGCATTGCAGGAGCACAGGGCCAGTGGAGGACTCAAGCAATCCTCCGCTGGCCCCGAGTTTACTGTGGTGTTTCAAACTCTGAGTCCCCAGATGACCCTAGGCTCCATGCGGCGCTGCTGCTTTGAAACGCTGCAGGGAGCCCAGCATCAGGCTCCATGCAGCATTTCAAAGCAGCAGCACCACATGGAACCCAGGCTCAGCTGGGGAGTCCCCAGCAGACCCCGGGCTCAATACAGCTCTGCCACTTTGAAACACCACGTGCAGCATAGGGCCAGCTGGGGACCTGGGCTATATGAGGTGTTTCAAAGCGGCAGACCCCAGGATCCACGTGACGCTGCTGCTTTGAAACGCTGCATGCAGCCCATGCAGCTTTTCAAAGCGCAGCGCCGCGTGGAGCCCAGGTCCTAACCCCAGGGTCCGTGCAGTGCTACTGCTTTGAAGCACCCTCTTTTTCATTCCCCCCCGTTTGCTGCCTCTTTCTGATAGAAGCAGCAAGAGGGGGAAGCCACTAGTTGACTAGTATGTTGACTGTCTGATAAGCATTTGCTTATTGGATAGTTGAGTAGTCCTTCACATCTCTGTTCAGGGGTATCCTTGTTTCTGTGGGTGTATACTCTGAAGAATTGTTGCACGCCTGAATCCTAACATCTTCATGCACAAATATTACAAGAGTCAAGAAAGGCATAAAGCTGAATATAACTATATGCATTTACATATGGGACAATGTTATATGTTTTAAAAAATGCGACATTGAATGAAATGTTTGGGGATGACTGCTGAATGCTTCATAAGCAGTACCTACTCATGACACCAATAGTTATTAAGTGACTAATCTGGCTGGTTGGGTGGAAAACAAAAGACACCATTATCTTGTCAAAGGCTATAATCTTTATAATCAGATAAGGTTTGATGGAAGAAATGAGCTATAAGAGCATATACTGCTTTATTTAATCAAGTTTGGGTCTCTAATAGCTATTCACACTAGTGAAGAGGAGTTTGGGAATGGTTAAAAGCATCATTTTCTATTAATTCAAAAATTTGACAGCTTTTTAGCACTTAGTGCTGCGATGCAAAAACTGTTAATGCATTATATGGAGAAATAGTGTTAATATAAAATAATATATACATAAATTAATAGTTAATTAATTAACTTATCTTATCAATTTAATTTTTAGAATACTGGAAATACACCAAATGAAAATAAAACCAATCTGCCAGATGTGGAATGAGCAGTTTAGCAGCATGAAGCTTGAGAGACTGCAGACTCACAGTACAGTAAAATCTGTGCTTTTCTATTAACCTTTCATAAATGAAGATATTTGGATATTTCTGCAGAAAATTTTATAGACTTCATATAATATTGTGGTTATTCTCCAAGAAATTATTTTAGATGCATTAGTCCTAAAATGGCTTATATAAATGAAGATTTCATTAAACTTTTATGGAATATGAAACACATAAACTTATTTTTGATGGCTAAGTACCAACATTAAGCTCCTTCCAGTGCTTATGCATAAAATCTGTATATTTTACTAGATGTCCAGCTGATCTAAAATTGGCTGAAGATCATTAATTAATCTAAAATTTCTATAAGAGCCTGTTACTATTTTCTCTGATAGATGATGACCTAAGACTTCTGTAATAGTATATTGGATAACAAGGGATCATGAAATCGGTTCAGATATTTTAGGGTAGCAAGGACCACATTTTCTGGCTGTTTAATTTTAGCACCCATTTTTTCATAAACAATTTATTGTGACTGCATATGTGGTTGTGTACCCATTTTACATGTGCGGATTGGGCATTGACCATCTACCCTGTTTTTAAACTGTTTTTGTATGCAAGGCTGAGGTATGTACATTTTAGCATGTACAAAATTGGGTACAAAAATCAGAGATCAGAGATAAAAACCAGGTCCTTTGTGTTTTCAGATTTATCATTTAGGACAGTAAGCTGCATACATCCTTTGCTCATTAGGGTTCTTTGTACTATTTCTGTTGTGATTTCTGAAAATTAAAGAAACTAAATCCAGAAAATTATTTGTGCTGAAAATACTCATGCTCTTTGAGTAAGCAACTGTTAAGATAACTTACCCTAGGTGTAACACTCAGATAAAAATATTTGGCTCGTATAATTCCTGAATTAGAATAGTCAGTGCAATCATTTTAGTTGAGTTTTTAATATTTTATCATTTTAAGGGAAACCAATTGAAGGATGGAAAACATTTTCCTTACATGCACTCTGAACAAAGACTTTGGAATAGGTGTGATATTTAAACAAAATATTTTTACAAAAGGTTTCTACAGAACATTGTTTCACAGCTACATCTTTTTTTTTTTATTTATAAAAGGATCTGGGAAACATGTAATAACAAAGTTGATGTTAAAAGGGAGAAGGAATATATTTTCTGTATGTATGCAGAATATAACCAAGTTCTTGCTTCACAGTATCTGCAGGGAAATACTACAGTTAACTGTCTGTTCTCTATTATTATTTTTTTATTCCATTGAACCATAAGAGTTCAATCTATGTTGAAATTTGTCTCAGGCAAGAAGGAATATTTTAAACTAAAAAAAAAATTGTTAAAGTGTGTTTGTAATTCTTAGAAATAAAAAGGCTTCCTCAGTTTATAGACTTCTTGTGCTCTGATATATTATTTCAAAATCTTTAATTTAGTTAAATGGGTTTCACAAGCTGGCAGTCCACATGTGACTTGGCCATTGTGGTATTTAAAATAACAAAAATATATCAGGCTTCTGATAGTAATAGTAATATAGTAATATTTTACTATTGTAATATTTTAGCCGTTTCTCTAATTTGCATGTCTGAATTAATTTAACACATTCATGGATTAGACTCATTAGAGGGATCAATATACATATGTAAGAGGAACCTGCATAAACTACAAGTTTAACAAACAATAGCACGCATCTGTGCAAAGGAAAATGTACTTCAGGAAAAGAGATGCATACTAAAGAACAGAGAAAGAATATAACAGATCTTTAATAGATACTTTGTATTCCTTATTGTTATTTCCTATGTTATTACTCCTGTCTTTATTGACTATGGGTCATATTCAACAACAATGCAAACAGTTACACATCATGTGCAAGAGGGTGTGACCATGTGCAAGAGAGTGTGAGAGGTGAGGTAGTGTAAATTTGAGTGATTTGGCATTTAGCAGGGCTATGTTTACAAAGAAGCATTTTGGAATGTTATTCTGAAATAACACAGTGCACATCTACACAATGAGCCTTTATTTTGAAATAATGTTGAGCTGGAGGACTTCTTATTCCAACTCCTGGTAACCCTCCTTTCACAAGGAGTAAGGGAAGTCAAAGGAAGAGTATTTTTCCCTTAACTTCCTGCTGTGTAGACAGCTCCAAAAGCCAATATAAGCTATTTCGACTTCAGCTACACAAGTGACATAACTGAAGTTGTGCATCTTAATTCCGTTTTAGCCCTACTGTGTAGATGTACCCTAAGTGTGCAAAATTAATGCAAATTGTAGGCAGAGGAGATGGAAGGATAGATGGCATGTCAGGAATTAGGAAGCACATACTAACTCTTCCTTCCCTAATTCTTTTTATTACATATTTTAACTTCTCTATTAACTATATTTATTTTATTTTCCAGAAGATCATTGGAGCAGCTGGAAAAGTTGTTAAATCATCACTGACTGGATGAATCAGGATTTCCTTTATTCCTTGTCTTTGTCTTTTCTCCCAAAACTATTATTAGAGCACAATAAACAGGAGTAGGTGAAAGCTTCCTTATGCTATCCATACAAAGGTGTAGCATCAAAATTTGAAGTTTCTAAGTTCTATAAAAACAATTTAGCTAACTGCATCAATGGTTTGTGGTGTATCTTAACCACTGCAAGCAGGGAGAAGAGGCCATGACTACTTGATAATGAGGACCTTGTTTTCCTTCTTGTCTTTTTCCTTAGAGACAAGGAAGAAAAATACTTGGCAGTGAAATATGTAAAACTTTGTAGTGAAAAAAACCCAAACAGGGAGAATTAAACTTAACTTAAGGCTAGGCATTTGTGGCTAAGAGAAATCTAAAGAAATCTTGATGACTTTTTAACATTGTGACTTTAAATCTAGCAATTAAAATCTAGTACTGATATACTGCGAACATTTTAAAAGGAAGATTTTATGGTAGCAAAGCAATCAAACAATCAAAACTAGGTTACTTGAGAATAGTTACATTTATTTTTATTTAATGACTGAGGATATTACTTCAGAATAGTTACATTTATTTTTATTTAATGACTGAGGTATGCAGATTAAATAAATATGTAAATATACCATGTTTCATACAGTTTCATCTTAAAATTTGCTGTAAGCCAATTATGCAGCAGTGACATGTTAGCTGTTCTGACATGTTGACAGGTTTAAATGGGAAGTATTTGTCTGACAGGCACTAATTACAATAAAAATCAGTTGTTTTTGTGGGTTATCTCAACTGTGAATGTGAATAAACTGTACAGTCCAGTACACAATGCAGATTTGTGGTAAGCAAATATGCAATGATATCACTAGAGTGTAACTAAGAGTTTGAAATTTCTGTCCAATGTGTGCTGGATGTTCCATTGCTGCCTCCTCACCAGCAATGAACCAATACATTCCTAGAGTAGTCCTGCGATTATACTCAATGCTCGCGTAGTGGGGATATTTGAATTTAGAGATGATAGACTATGTTGAGATTTGGAAAGGTGGGCGATATTCCTTAGATGCTAGATCTCTCAAATATCATCTTTTTCAAATCTCTCTCCTTGCAGGTCTAGGGAACCATTTCTTATTTTAGAGGATGTGTAGTAGGCCCACTGCAGCCCAATCTGAAAAAGGCCTTCTTGGAGCTGGAGGTCAAATTTGGGAGGAAGAAGCACACTAACTACACACCCAACCTCAATATAGAAGATGGGTGAGCATCTGATGCTCAGAGTAAAGGAACTGAGCGATCTGGCTCAAACACATGGTGGGGGGAGAAGAAGGGTGGAGAGGCTGCAAGAATAAACAACTACAGATTTTCCAGTTATAGCCTACTGTAGTCATCTGGGACTCAGGGTGCATAGATTCTGTTCCTAGTTATGTTAAAGGCCTGTCAGCTAATGTGGGATAAGTGACTTTGCTGTGCCATGCCATAGTTTTCTCAGCTGTAAAATGGAGATGACACAGACATCCTTTCTAAATTGCCTTGAGACTCCCTAATGAAAAGGGCTTTTAAGATGTAGGTATTATTTACTGAAAACAATCAGATTCCCAAACAGGGCTGATATTTGGACTCTTCTGGAAGTCTGTTTGCCCATCCTTGTTAAATACAGAATTTGACAGGACGGGAAAAGAAGCCCTGATGAGAGACATAAACAACTTGCCAGTTTGTTTTAAGAAATTCTTCCCATAAGAACAGCCATCCTGGGTCAGATCAAAGGTACATCTACCCCAGTATCCTGTTTTCTGACAGTGGCCAATTCCAGGTGCCCCAGAGGGAATGAACAGAACAGGTGATTCCTCCCCTGTCACTCATTCCCATTTTCTGACAAACAGAGGCTAGGGACACCATTTCTACCCATCCCAGCTAATAAGCATTGGTGGACCTATCCTCCATGAATTCATCTAGTTCTTTTTTGAACCCTGTTAAAGTCCTGGTCTTCACAACATTCTCTGGCAAGGAGTTCCATAGTTTGTTGCATGAAGAAATACTTAATTTTGTTTGTTTAGAATCGGCTACCTATTAATTTCATTTGGTTACCCCTAGTTTTTATGTTATGGGAGCAAATAAATGACTTTTCGTTATTCACTTTCTCCACACCAGTCATGATTTTATAGACCTCTATCATAGTCCTTCTTAGGCATCTCTACACTACAAAATTCTTTCAAAATAACTTGTTTCGAAATAATAACTCCTGAAATAATTTCAAAATAGCAGGTTCACACTATGGGGAAGCCTCAAAATTAGTCCAAGACAGGTTCTGTTGACAATTTCAAAATAGCATGTTCACACTATTGGGAAGCATCAAAATTAGTCCAAGACAGGTTCTGTTGATGTGGATGTACTACCTTGTCTTATAGCCCCTGGAAGCACGGGGGAGTAATTAGTCTGAATTACTTCTGGGGAGTAGTTATTTCAAAATAGCAGCACCAGAGCATCCATACTGCTGCTATTCTGAAATAACTATTTCAAAATTAGTATTATTCCTCATGAAAAACAGGAGTTATTTCAAAATAACCAGCTCATTATTTTGAAATAACGGGTTTGATAGTGTGAACATGCCGCTTATTATTTTGAAATAAGAGGAATTATATATATAGTAGCCCAATGTCTGTGACTCTGTAATGCTGAAATGCTGGCTGTTCCTTCTGGGCAGCACTGTTGCCTCCCTTCTATCTTTCGCCTCCCACCATGGCGCTTGGCTGAATCCTATCTTTCGCTTCCCACCATGGCGCTTGGCTGACTTCTGCACCGCTCAGCTGGGCCACCATGCAGGAGCAAGTGGTGCAGATGGCCGTTTGGACCCCACGTTCCCCATGCAGCACGGGGGTGCTGTATGGGGAGTGCGGACCTCAAACGGGTGCTTGCTCCCCCACAGCGGCACGGCTGAGTGGCGCAGAAGTCAGTCAAGTGCCACGGCAGGAGGCAAAGGGGGGCGGGGCAGTCTTGTGCACGGCCAGGGACAGGGCCTGGACGAGCGTTTGTCTCTGACGTCACAAAAGGGTGCTGGATTCAAAAGGAGGAAAGTGGAGCAGACACAGGACATGGAGGAGACAGAGAGGAGAATGGAGGACAGCAGAGACAGACAGAGAGAGAGAGTTAGAGAGATGCAGCAGGAGGAGGAGAAGAGAAACACAGAGTGAGAGGTGGGAGGGGAAGAAGATAAAGAAAGAGATGGAGAGAGAGGGAGTAGAGCTGAGAGAGAGAGGGGGCAAGACAGTAGGAGGAGAGAGAAAGAGAGACGGAGTGGAGAGAGAGTGAGAGGCAGGAGGGGGAGGAAACCTGAGGGGGAGGAGAGAGAGAGAGAGACGGAGCGAGAGACCAAAGGCTCAGGAGAGAAGACTGACGTGGAGGAGAGACCTGAAAATCCCATCTTATGACGGGCTAATTGGCTAGTTTCAAAATAACTTCATAGTGTAGAGGCTTAGTCTCCTCTTTGATAAGCTGAAAAGAACCAATCTTTTTAATCCCTCTTCATATAGCAGCCATTCCCTTTTCTGGACTTTTTCCAATGCTAAAGTATCTTTTTTTTTTTAGATGAGGCAACCACATCTGTATGCAGTATTCAAGATGTGGGCGTACCATGGATTTATACAGGGGCAATAAGATATTCTCTGCCTTATTCTTGATCCTTCTTTTAATGAATCCTAATATTCTGTTTGCTTTTTTGACTGCTGCTGCACATTTAGGGAATGTTTTAAGAGAACTATCCACAATGACTCCAAGATTTCTCTTTTGAGTGGTAATAGCTAATTTAGTCCCCATTTTTTTGTACATACGGTTGGAATTATGTTTTCCAGAATGCATCGGAGAATACTCAAGGAGCTGATAGAGGAGGTAACTGAGTCTTTAGCTATCGTCTTTGAAAAATCATGGAACATAGGAGAGATTCCAGAAAACTGGAAAAGGACATATATAGTGCCCATCTATAAAAAGGGAAATAAGAACAACCCAGGAAACTACAGACCTGTCAGTTTAACTTCTGTACCAGGAAAGATAATGGAGCAAGTAATTAAGGAATTCATCTGCAAACACCTGAAAAATAATAAGGTGATAGGTAACAGCCAGCATGGATTTGTAAAGAACAAATCATGTCAAACCGATCTGATCACTTTCTTTGATAGGATAACAAGTCTTGTGGATAAGGGAGAAGTGGTGGACATAGTATACCTAGACTTTAGTAAGGCATTTGATACAGTCTCGCATGATCTTATCAATAAACTCAGAAAATACAACTTAGATGGGGCTACTATAAGGTGGGTGCATAACTGGCTGGATAACTGTTCTCAGAGAGTAGTTATTAATGGTTCACAACCCTGCTGGAAGGACATAACAAGTGGGGTTCCGCAAAGGTCTGTTGTGGACCGGTTCTCTTCAATATCTTCATCGACAATTTAGATATTGGCATAGAGACTACACTTATTAAGTTTGCAGATGATACCAAACTGGAAGGAGTTGCAACTGCTTTGGAGGATAGGGTCATAATTCAAAATGATCTGGACAAATTGGAGAAATGGTCTGAGGTAAATAGGATGAAGTTTAATAAGGACAAATGCAAAATACTCCACTTAGAAAGGAACAATC